ATACTTTTTCCACGCCGTGCATCAATTCAGGCACATGTAACTGTACTCCAATTTTGGAAATATAAATGCACAAAAGTTCCAAATACACCTTCTTAGTATAAACTTATTTGGTCCATATTTGTTGAATTTGAACAATTACTAGTCTATGTAAACAAATGTACGCCATTATGTACGCCAAAGTTTGTGTTTGTACACTGGACAAGTCCGGCCTACACACTTTACATTCCAGTCTGTTAAATTGATATGCTTCTGCAGCCTATAAAATCATTATATTGGAGATACTTGTGGCAGAAGCCTGTTGTTTTTTTTCAAGAACATTTTGGCAAACGTTTTGTGAAATCGACCGTCGCATATCCCACTAACATTCTTTTAAAACCAAAGCACTGGCCATATTTTATATAAAATCACATATATTTATTTATTTTTTCCAACCCCTAAAAACCTAGCATACTTACGCACACTGCAGACAGTAATGCTGTCCACTGCCTGGCAGGTCTGGGTCATTCTGTGACGATAATTTCACCGAGTTTCCTGCTTCTAAATCTGTGTGAATCTGATCGATGTCCTTCGTTCGTTGTCTTGTTCGATGCTTTTTCTTTTGGTCTTTGATGTTTTTATGCATTCGTTTACGGCGAAGACGTCCCATGGTTTCAACAGTTTAACAAAAAATAAAAATACTAAAGCCAGAGCAAGCAAAAAGCGAGTGTTTTTGAATGTATTTTTGAACTTTCATGTGAAATCAATTCCAATATGGCGGCCTTCAAGAAGAGAGTCCATCTCGAAGCCTGGGGCGAGTATTAAGCAGTTATGTTAATTAGCCATGTGCTTTGAGCAATTATGTTAATTAACCATGTGCTTTGAGCCTGTATTTCCCAATGAACAGTGAAGTACATTTATTAAATTAAATATACATTCAAATCATGATTATATACAAATTAAATATCAATCTATCGCTGTTTAGATCTACAAAGAATCTATTACAAAATTAATACTATCTATGGAGAAGTTCTTTTTATGTTACATGACACGCGCTCAAAACTATGGAATATATTTTTCCACTTGGTTAGGACTATATTCCGAATTTGTTAAACAAACTTAATAAACAAACTTAAAAAGTATGTTTAGTGCTTTATCTGTAAATAATGCTAAAATGAAGAGATTTTAGATGGTACGCCAAAGAGAAAATGATGTCTGAAGTTCAGTAAGTTTTGCTTATATTGCTGTAGAAATATGGCGTCAATTTTACAGCATCAATGATAATATTCATCTCAATCCTGTAAGATTGTAACTAATATGATTACTTCACCATTTATATCTTGTACGCCTTATATCAGTGTTAAAGACATACTGCTTCATACGAGAACACATCTTAAAGAACATAATCTATACAAGATAAAAAGACGGTTCCCTATATATTGTAATCGTTTACAGAAATGTTCGGGCGCTTGTCCACCTCTGTGAAACATTTGGCAACATTTCCGTACAGCCATAATTGTCAATATACATTTGAGGTATAGGCTCATAGCCAATCTATAACAGCATGCATAGGAACATAATATAAATTACATTGCAATAATGCAACAGCTTAATATCAACACACATCGTATATTACATTAGCCAAAAATAGAAGGCACATTTTCTATGATTATTTTGGCTATTGAGTTAATTGGGCCCATGGCGCTGAGTGAGGCCACGGCTGATTCAGTCCAAATGAGATTAGGTCCAAAGACAATCGCCAAATTTGTGGCATTCATCTTGTTCAAGTGCGCGTTGTTCATCACCTGAACACACAAGAAAAGTTTATACTGTTGTAATTTCATTGTACATTCTAGGAAAAAGTGAGGGATGATCCTTACTGGACCTCTAGGAAGAACAGTTTAGAACTGATCAAGCTATCCAGTATAAATAAAGTTAGTTTAGTTTAGGTTTCCTCCTGTAGTAACACTGGATCAATAAGAGATAATCCTTACTGGACCTCTAGGAAGAACAGTTTAGAACTGATAGAGCTATCTAGTATAAATAAAGCTAGTTTAGTTTAGGTTTCCTCCTTGCTGTAGTAACAATGGATCAATAAAAGATTACTCTTACTGGACCTCTAGGAAGAACAAGTTAAGGCTAGTTTAGCTTAATTTAGTTGATAGAATAAGAGCCTCGCAACGTTGCCAGTACAGTAACATTGACTACGGTATTTCCACAAAAATAAAAAATCTACAAGAGCATACTGACCTGAACCAAGAACTCCATGAGATATTTCAACACGATATAATTCTGTCGTGGAAGAGCACTCTTGAGAACTCGCACAACTTCGTCCACTTTCTCCTCGTCAGGCAACGCTGCGGAGAAAAAATGATGACAGAAAATTAAATTTCTAGGGACGGACCTACCATAGGGGTGGGGTGCGTACCCCACGTCCCCACCTAGCGTTGTCTACCCCCCCCCCCCTAGAAAAGTCCAGCACCACCCTAAAAAAATCTGCCTGACCATACATTTTCTGCTTTTCGAATAGCGATTAACGGAACTTCTACTGTTAGCGCATGTCGATTTCTCGAAACCGTTTCATTGATTTGTGAGCTCACGAGAAAATACTCAGATTGCTTTAGTTAAAATCATGGTTAAATATGTAAACATGTCGAGGTTGTTCTACAGCCATATTTTCAAATAAACTGTACTTGAACACGCAAGTTTACTGTATACTGCTACAGCAACTGTCCAGTCACGCATACGTGATAAAAAAGGCAATATAAACTTTATAAACAAAAGATAATGTAAAACGTAACAGAACGGCGAACATGCAGATTCGGGCATCTCAAATAATGGTAATGTTGGGATAGTAGCGTTGCAGACTGCAGAGGAGAGTGGGCAGTAAGGCTCCCTCATGCACCACCCCATGGAAAACCTGTACCCCTTCTTGGTGATCAGCCTAGATCAGCCCCTGCACACCTCTATCTTACTTACCATGTATTCTCATAATATCATCGTAGAGTTGAAACGTGAGCAAGGGTTCTGGAAGTTCTCGTAAAAATTTCTTCAGTAAAACAGCGGCGACATGAGTGTCTTCTTCCCAAACAAATTGTACGGTTTCTCCTAGAGAGTTAAGAAGGTTATTGTAAAGTTTGAGCTGTTCCTATCGGTTCATTTGTTAAGTGATAACGCCAAGCATGCTTGTATTTACTTGATTATAAATAGCTATTAATCAGGCCTTAAAATATCGGCCAGAGAACCGTCTGACAAAATCTTCGATGACTTTGAGTTTGGGTCGGACATATGTATTGTGATGTCCCAAAGACTTTGAGTTCAGTTTGGCTTGGAAATAATTATGAATGATACAAATATTAATCAGAACAATTTGGAAAAGTCATTTGAATCTTGGCAATGAATTTCGGAACCCCACTGTGAAAACCCCGCACTTGATTACACATTTTCACTTTTTATACATTACTCTGATTCTCCATTTAACATACGAGCCTCTAGTCCTGGACTAGGGTACATTTTGATTGATGTTGGACAAAGTTACAGTTAGGTCGGACACCAATACACTCGGGTGTCGAACAAACAAACCTCAGTTTCACTTAGGTCGGACAGAATGTCCAGTGGTTTCCTCTCTACGTCGGACAATTTCACGAATGGGTCGGACAATATCTGTGACTCACCAATATTTTTTAGGGCCGTATTAATGAAGCTGTAGTTTAAAATATTCTCTCGTGAATGCCGAATATAATACCTCGATTAAAAATTGCTGCATACCCGTTTACCACCGTGACATTTGCGGAACGTCTGAACAGCCCTTCGACTTCAAGACCTGAGCAAAGTGAAAATGAACCTTTTAGGAAGAACAGTTTAGAACTGATAGAGCTACCCAGTATAAATAAAGTTATAGTTTAGTTTAGGTTTCCTCCTGTAGTAAGACTGGATCAATAAGAGATTATTTTTACTGGACCTCTAGGAAGAACAGTTTAGAACTGATAGAGCTATCCAGTATAAACAAAGTTAGTGGTAAAGCTATACCTGATTCCCTTAAGAACTCAACAGTACATTGTACAACAGGAGGAATATCTTCACCTGTCTTCAATTTTATTCTGTAAAACAAGTAACAATTTATTACGAGCAGCCTGTATTGGTCTTGTTGGAACAACTTGTAGCCAGTCTGTTACCGTCATCAAGCTTGTAACAAGGTGATAACAACTTGTTCCAGACTTGTCGCAACAACTGGGAACAAGCAGTGCGAACACATCCTGATATCGGCTTCACAACAACCTTGTTTAATACGACTGAAGACAATTTCGCCCTAAGGAACTTCGTATCAAAACATGGGTATCATTTCATTTTCATTTTCGTGCAAAATAGAGATACCACTCCCCAGAAATGTCCAATCATAGTTAAGCCCCCACCTGTCCAAAGTGACACCAAATTGCTGTGTCTCAGGCAGAGGTACATCCAAAGCTGTGTGAAAAACTGCGGGTGAATATTTTGGTTTGTATCTTGCTGAAATTTCTTCATCATGACTAGAAGTGAACATATTAAAAAACATAAAACATATGTAAAACTAAACTAATTCTATTTATCAGTTCTAAACTGTTCTTCCTAGGCGTCCAGTAGGGATCATCTCTTATTGATCCAGTGTTACCACAGGAGGAAACCTAAACTAATTTTAGTTATAATAGGTCTAGAGTAAGTGGACGTATTTTCACATGAACTTACTTTTTAACTAGTTCAGGAATGTCAAGCTGTGCCAGATGTAAATGTTCTTCGAGCTCTGACAAACGATTGACGTACACAACTTTCTTGGCAAACTTTGTACTACAAAGAAAAGATATTGGTGAAAATTAAACTAATCACACGTCCATTTATCGCTGTACTGAACAACTATATAATTTCAAAAATGTTTTCTGTAGAGGTCCAGTAAGGATCATCTCTTATTGATCCAGTGTTATTACAGTCTACAGGAGGAAATCTAAACTAAACTAACTTTATTTATACTGGATAGATCCATCAGTTCTAAACTGTTCTTCCTAGGGGTCCAGTAAGAATCATCTCTTATTGATCCAGTGTTACTACAGGAGGAAATCTAAACTAAACTAACTTTATTTATACTGGATAGCTCTATCAGTTCTAAACTGTTCTTTCTAGAGGTCTAGTAAGAGTCATCTTTTGTTGATCCAGTGTTACTACAGGAGGAAATCTAAACTAAACTAACTTTATTTATACTGGATAGATCCATCAATTCTAAACTGTTCTTCCTAGAAGTCTAGTAAGAGTCATCTTTTATTGATCCAGTGTTACTACAGGAGGAAATCTAAACTAAACTAACTTTATTTATACTGGATAGCTCTATCAGTTCTAAACTGTTCTTCCTAGAGGTCCAGTAAGGATCTCTTATTGATCCAGTGTTACTACAGAAGGAAACCTAAACTAACTTTATTTATACTGGATAGTTCTATCAATTCTAAACTCATGTTTCGCTCGCTACTCTGGTTTAAATAAATTATTACAAAGCCCAGTCGAATTGTAATCAAGACCCAACGTTTCGACACTCCGGTCTATTGTCTTTATCAGGGGTGATCTAAAACTGCGATCGTGGCTTCTTAAATACCCAAGGGATGACGTCACCTGCCAAGAAGATGCATATATTCCTCTGGGAAATAGGCGCCGTCATCCCTATTCAAAGCATGATGACTCATATTTATATGCCACGCTTCTAGGCAAAGTCTAAACTGTTCTCTCTGGAGGTCCAGTAAGGGTCATCTCTTAGACAACTGCAAATTGCAGGATTTGAATGTAAGCACCAACCTAATGAACTGTTTTAGAACATTCCAGATAACTTTAATGAATCCTGTTGGATGGACAATAAACAGAGCCTTCAAATTCTTCTTGTACCTAAATATTCAATAGTTCATTAGTTTGAGCGTGTTTGACAAAAGATACAAAAGATTTTCCTCCTAATTAAACTTACTTTCGATCGAGTGCTTGGTAAACTTGAACCAGCCATGAGATTGAGGGTTTATTTTTGCTGTTTAGACCATGATGAAAGTAGACAACAGAGTAATCGTTCTCTACATATTGATCCAATGTATACTGCATGTATCTAGAGGGGTAAACAACCAATGTTAATAAACAAGTACTGTAAACAAGTTAACAAATAGACACACAAACAAGACAAGATGTTAGTAAACAATTTAATGAACAAATACTGTAAGTAAACAAATAAACATGTCAACAATTAAACAAGTTAATAGGTGTGCAAAAAACAGTAAACAAACAGGTAAACAAATAAAGAAAGAAGAAAGTTAAACTAGTAAACAGGTTAACAAATAGACAAGCAAATAAGTCAAGAATTTGATAAACAACTGAATAATTAGCAATTGAATAAATACTGTAAGTAAACAAATAAACATGTCAACAATTAAACTATGAAAGTAAATTAGTAAACAAGTGTTTAAACCATTAAGCAGCAATGCACCCTACTTTATTCTTTTACTCTGTCTAATGCCAGATGATTTTACTCATCAAGGAGAGAGTCAAAATAAGTATGCATGCGAATACACATGTAAATAAGTAAACATGTAAATAAGTAAACAGGTAAACAAACAAGCAAGGAAGCATGTACTGTACACATCTAAACAACATAACAATTACTAGTAAACAAATAAACAAACAAGCATGCAAACAAAATTTAAAAAGGAATGACAGAAAGGAATTTACCTGAACAGTTTCTGATGATCAATTTCAGTTTTCGGAGGCAATCGGCACGCTGAAAACACGATGGCTTTTCTTGCATTTTTATCATCGCCTAAATTTTATACATTAAAAAAAGTCAAATTGGTCTGCAGTGCATCAGCAGACCTCAAAGAAGCAAATAAAAATGGTTTCGGTATTTTCAAGAGAAGGGCAATTCAAAGCAGTTGCTCAAGAAATTGTGATACACTGTATAAGATGAAAATAAACAACTTATAATTAGCTAAATGAAACAAGATTCTCTTCACTGATGTGAGAACGACCAGCGAAATAAATATATTCTAAATAAAATTATAAAAAAAGCACAGAAATTTTGTTATTTTTGCGACACAAAGCAACATGTCGCGAACCGAAACTACCGGTTCCTTGTAATGCTCTGATCAAAGTTACAAAACAATGCTTATTATTTTACCTGCAATGGATAGAATGTGATGACAGTCAATATCGGCGTAATCTTCGCAATCGCCCATGTCTTGTTCTGTCGATGAATGTAATGGCTCTTCAGGCTGGTCTACAAGCCCCTCTATCTCGTTATGTAAATCTGAAAAAAAAATTCTTACTCAGCACTAGTAAAGTACAGCGAGTCAAGTCCATAGATCACATAGAAATCTATCTGAGGGAGATTCGAAAATCAATTGTCATTATCCATCATTATAAATATACAACTTCTGTCAGCAGATTTGTAAAGCAAAAGTTAAATGTAAGAACCCACATATACACATAAAAATCTCACATCTTGTGGTTGTGTTCGCACTGCTTGTCCCAAGTTGTCAACAAGTTTGGGACAAGCTGTTAACAACTTGTAACAACCTTGTTGTCATCAGCCTTGTTACAAGGTTGTTCCGTGGTTGTTCCAACAAGTCCGATACAGCCATGATATAACAATATTGTTACAACCTTGTGTCATCAACCTTGTAACATTCTTGTTATATCATAACTGTATCAGACTTGTTAGAACAACCTTGTAACATTCTTGTTATATCATGACTGTATCAGACTTGTTAGAGCAACCTTGTAACATTCTTGTTATATCATGACTGTATCAGACTTGTTAGAACAACCTTGTAACATTCTTGTTATATCATAACTGTATCAGACTTGTTAGAACAACCTTGTAACATTCTTGTTATATCATGACTGTATCAGACTTGTTAGAACAACCTTGTAACATTCTTGTTATATCATGACTGTATCAGACTTGTTAGAACAACCTTGTAACATTCTTGTTATATCATGACTGTATCAGACTTGTTAGAACAACCTTGTAACATTCTTGTTATATCATGACTGTATCAGACTTGTTAGAACAACCTTGTAACATTCTTGTTATATCATGACTGTATCAGACTTGTTAGAGCAACCTTGTAACATTCTTGTTATATCATAACTGTATCAGACTTGTTAGAACAACCTTGTAACATTCTTGTTATATCATGACTGTATCAGACTTGTTAGAACAACCTTGTAACATTCTTGTTATATCATGACTATATCAGACTTGTTAGAACAACCTTGTAACATTCTTGTTATATCATAACTGTATCAGACTTGTTAGAACAACCTTGTAACATTCTTGTTATATCATGACTGTATCAGACTTGTTAGAACAACCTTGTAACATTCTTGTTATATCATGACTGTATCAGACTTGTTAGAACAACCTTGTAACATTCTTGTTATATCATGACTGTATCAAACTTGTTGGAACAACCTTGTAACATTCTTGTTATATCATGACTGTATCAGACTTGTTAGAACAACCTTGTAACATTCTTGCTATATCATGACTGTATCAGACTTGTTAGAACAACCTTGTAACATTCTTGTTATATCATGACTGTATCAGACTTGTTAGAACAACCTTGTAACATTCTTGTTATATCATGACTGTATCAGACTTGTTAGAACAACCTTGTAACATTTTTGTTATATCATGACTGTACCAGACTTGTTAGAACAACCTTGTAACATTCTTGTTATATAATGACTGTATCAGACTTGCTAAAACAACCTTGTAACATTCTTGTTATATCAGGACTGTATCAGACTTGTTAGAACAACCTTGTAACATTCTTGTTATATCATGACTGTATCAGACTTGTTAGAACAACCTTGTAACATTCTTGTTATATCATGACTGTATCAGACTTGTTAGAACAACCTTGTAACATTCTTGTTATATCATGACTGTATCAGACTTGTTAGAACAACCTTGTAACATTCTTGTTTTATCACGGCTGTATCAGACTTGTTAGAACAACCTTGTAACATTTTTGTTATATCACGACTGTATCAGACTTGCTAGAACAACCTTGTAACATTCTTGTTATATCATGACTGTATCAGACTTGCTAGAACAACCTTGTAACATTCTTGTTATATCATGACTGTATCAGACTTGTTAGAACAACCTTGTAACATTCTTGTTATATCATGACTGTATCAGACTTGTTAGAGCAACCTTGTAACATTCTTGTTATATCATGACTGTATCAGACTTGTTAGAGCAACCTTGTAACATTCTTGTTATATCATGAGTGTATCAGACTTGTTAGAACAACCTTGTAACATTCTTGTTATATCATGACTGTATCAGACTTGTTAGAACAACCTTGTAACATTCTTGTTATATCATGACTGTATCAGACTTGTTAGAACAACCTTGTAACATTCTTGTTATATCATGACTGTATCAGACTTGTTAGAACAACCTTGTAACATTCTTGTTATATCATGACTGTATCAGACTTGTTAGAACAACCTTGTAGCATTCTTGTTATATCATGACTGTATCAGACTTGTTAGAGCAACCTTGTAACATTCTTGTTATATCATGACTGTATCAGACTTGTTAGAACAACCTTATAATGATAATGCCATCAAGCTTGTTCCAAGTTGTTAACCGCTTGTTCCAAACTTGTTACAACAACTAGGAAACAAGCAGTGGAAACACAAAATTTGTCGACAGCTTGTGAACAGATCTGTAACAACTTGTGTGTTTTTATGTGTGCGACAGACACATTGGATCTAACCTGAGTATCAGGCTCTATTTTACAAATAGAGCCTGACACAAAACTTAACCTGATCGCTTTCCACCCACAGCAAAGTTTATATTTAGTATCCAATCAAAATGTCGCAGGAGAAATTTAAATTTCACACAACGACAACAACAATCTAATTATAGCATAGGCAGCCCACTAAACGGCTGAATTTAAATTAAAACTGCAATGAACTTATAAAATTAACAAAAATAATCACAAATTAGCAAAACATATTGCAAATGTAGCTTATATTAAATCGCCACCCGATTGCTCTCTCCTCCGCAGAGGTTTCAGTGACTACAATGAGCTTTACATGGCGCTTGCCGTATTTATCAACAAACTGACGTATAATTATAAAGTATATATATATACTTTATAACTATACGTCAGTCGATAGTGCAATCTGATGGCGATTTAATATAAGCTACATTTGCAATATATTTCGCTAATTTGCGATTATTTTCTAATTTTACTGCAGTTTTAAGTTAAATTCAGCCGTTTAGTGGGCCGGCTATAATTGTAGTTGTGATCGTTATAAAATATATCAACAATAGTATAATCTAATTAGCACCAGCCAATCAAATGACAGATTTAAAAAATCGTTTGTCTAATCGGCCAATCAGACGAAAAAGCCAGAATCTGGCTTTTTACATGCGCCATGGTAAAGAATTGTATCAGGCCCTCTTTCATTCGCCGCGCCAATTAATCCTGGCGAATGAAAACATAAGGGCCTGATACTCAGGTTATTGTTTCATCTACTTTTGACGGGCAAATTAGAACACAAAACATGCTGTGCTTAGAGTTCACATCTGTATTCAGTTGCCACACAAAACACCAACTTCACATAAAATATTATTCTGTGACATTTTCAGGAATTTTGCCATGGCAATATGAATATTTTTAAAAAAATCTTGCCACAAGCTACTTCAAACTTGACGTTTCCAAGACTAAGTGGTCAAGCTTTATAGATAAAAACATCACTTTGAAGTTTTGCTTAGCAACTTGAATGTGAATGGGCTCCTTTATACTCAGGTTCTTAGCAAGCTAAAGCAAGCAATGTTTTTGTCGGACGTCAGCCAAAATTTGGTGTAACTAATTTTGGATGAAAATTTACACCATGTTGCTCATGTAAAAATCTTGTGTTCTGTCATATGTATTGAAGACAAACTGTTTTAATCCAGTCCCCGTTGGCAAACTGAAGCTCATATCGCCAACATGTTGCTTGTTTAATAAGCTCCCTATTTTATATACCACGGCCCTGTCATGAAGCCTTACTGACCCCCACTCCCCTCTCCTTATAGTAAAATCTTATAAAGTTTTTTATATTCGGCTTTTTATCACGTAGGCGTGATTGGATAGTTGCTTGAAGCACGGTACAGTAAATTTGCTTGTTCAAGTACAGTATATTTGAAAATATGGCTGTGTTATCCCTATGTTAATAGTGGATGTGAAAAGTTTACAACTCACTGATTATCATAGTCACGTAACAAAAGACACTGATTCTTGAAACAGCATTCAAAGCCATTGTTTTGAAGAAAATCGTTTATATAAACAAGACAGTATAAATAATACCCATTCTTTCCTATATAAGTACATACTAAATAATATTTCTATACTGCGGTGAAAAGCTTTCTGTTTTTCTTGGATAAATATTATCCGATTACGCTGAAACGTGAAACCTACAAATTTGTCAACAGTAATTATACAATCTCGTAGTTTTGTCATTTTAACACAAAGTTGCTGCTCTATTAAGACAAAAATAAAGGCAATAGGCAGCAAATAGATATTTTACGGCTTCGTCACGAAGCAGACATCCCTTTTGAGAAACATTTCCGACATATTATTGCACAATAACAAACCACCGACAGCTTACGTTAAATATAAAATATAGTATATTGAAATTGGACTTCTATACCATATCGAAATTACAACATACAAGCACAAAATGTTCACAAAAATTATTTTATACAAACCTTGGGCTATTTTTTTAATCAGATCTAAACAAAAAGCGGTTGATCAACATATATTTCGAGGGCATAAGCAATAGTTTTTGAACAAAACAATGAACGTAAATTTCAATCGACCCCATTCATAACCTGCAATACGAAATTCAACCTGAAGCTTCGAGAATGGCGAACTGACCATGCGCAACAAGAAATGAAGTACTTCATGTATGTACCCCACCTAGTCACAGACCTAGTGGTGTCTGGCAAGTGGTGCCTAAATTACTTTGAATTTGTACACGAGTAGAAGTAATTATAAACAATAAAACGACTTGAGTAAGAGTAAAAAGTACTGGAGGCAAAACGTACTTAATTAAGTAAAAAGTACAAAGTATCCTTAAAAAATACTTGAAGTAAAAAGTAAAAAATAAAAGTAAAAGTACTATTGTCTTTAGTCTGTAGGGAGAGGGACTTCTCAATGGATTGACATACAATTGATACAAAAGACACAAAACAGCACACGCATTATATGCGAGCACTTATATTATACAATATTCCACGGCATGGTCAACTTTCCATACCCCGTTGGAGATGTAAGAAATCCATTAAATAAATAAATAATGCT